GCACTTTGTTCAGCTAGCCCGGAAATTTGCAGGGAACTTTGGAATTCCCTGTGCTACTCCTTGCCCAGAGGAAGTGTCCTAACAGCCTTCCAGGCAGGACCCTAAGAAAAGCACAGCTCATAAGCACATAATTCTTTGGTCTTCTGCTGTTTTCCCCTTCTCAGTACAGTTCTCCTGAAGGCCAAGGTTCTTCAGATTGAAAAATCTGGAAGCCTCAGGTAAACCTGAACAGTTGGTCTTCCAAAAGGCCAAAAGTTGGCCTTTTTAGCCCCACGGTCTAGAAAAGATAGCTTGTTAAATCCAGCTTCGGCCACTGATTCAGGATGCAGGCTCTGCTCTGATGGGTCCTTAAGATGGCTGTCAGCTCTTCTGCTTGTTAGGTTTCAAACACAGGAATACTGACAAGAAAGTCCTAACCAAGGCCTGGTTATCTCCAGATGAACACAGTGTTTTATGACCAATCCTAGTAATTCTTTCACAATTGTCAATGATATAAAACACAGCAAAGCTATGAAAAAGAAGAAGAAAGCAAAGAGTCTAGTAAAGTGAGGTAAATACCTAATCCTAGCTAGTCACAACTTTATAAACCTCAGTCTTTGATTGGAACTAATTCCATAAAGCTTTGACGGAGCCATTCACTCAAATGCTGGTAAGAGGTGCCGATGTAAATCTCATAGAAGCTTCCTTGAGTACGTTTGCTAAGTCTGGCTGACACAGCTCTGATGGGACACCCAGGGACAGAGACGGGGATATGCAAGTTCCATGCCACTCTTTATATTTTTCCCCGACTCTATCCATTGTGTGGTTGGAAAAAGTTAGCTTTACTTTAAAAAGAAAAAAAAAAAACATGGAAGAATTTGTTTAAAAGTCTACTGCTTAAGAAACAGCATGCTAGACCACAGATTGAGAGCACTCAATTTGGACCAGGGCAGAAAACCTTAAGAGGTGCCCTCAGCGAAGCATTTAAAATGTCATGTTAACAGGACTGAGTTTCCCCCAGGCTTTTTGGTGCTCTATGCCATCATGGTAAAAGAAAGAAGTTTTGAGCAAAGCAAACCTGCTGGTGGTCAGGACCGGCATTTTACAGTACACTGCAGCAGCTACATGTCTTTAAACCAACCTTCAGCCTTTCTTAGCAGTTGTTATCAACTTATTTATTTATTTATTTAGTAACAGGCACATTAGCCTGGGTTTCACTCTTCATGAAAACTATTTTAACACAAAGCAGATTTGTGTCTTTATTTGTTTTGAACCACAAGTAAAAAAGCAATACATTTAGTTTGGAAGAAGGTTGCCAAATGGATGAAAAAGACCTGCAAGTTTTCCTTTTGGTTGCCCTTAGCATTTACGGTCAACTTTTCCCAGCTCAAAACCCAAAGTCTGCTCTCAATTAGCCTGGCGTAAATCAGAGCAACTCCATTGACTTCAGACAGCTTTTCTGGTTATAGAGCATTGTGAGACAGAACAGAATTTGGCCAATATTGTCTTTTTTTTCTTTTACCGGCACCATGGATTTTTCTCTTTTTGGAAGACTTATTGGTTGAAACAAAGCAGATGACTGTGGACAACCTGTTTGATGTGGTAAACAAAAGCAAAGTAACTGCCAGACCCGCTGATGGAGTTAGAAAGAAAAGAAACATGAACACTGTGGGAAGGAGAATGCTGAGGAAGAACTTGAACCTTCTACTGATTTTGGTAGTGAAGTCCAAAAATAACCAATAATATTGCCCAAAACAAAATTTAGTACAGTGTAAGACTGTGACTTTAATCTCTAATCATGTCCGTCAGAAGCAATTCCACTGAACTTGATGGTGCTAATCCACTGTAAAACTAGACATGGACATCTGCAACCACACACAAAGTTGAGATACCAGCAGGAGCAACACAATAAGATCATCATTAATATTGTTACATGTCTCCTATTGGTAAAGAAAATGTAGTGAAGGAATAAAGAGACTGAAACCCATTTTGCAGACTATTTTTCAGAAAATACAGCACTGCAAAAACTTATTGCGAACTTTTTTCCTCCCTCAAGAGGGACTAGGATTATGAACCAAAAGAAGGTCATTAGCAGAAGACAGATCTTTCCTGGATGAACAAAAGTTAGTTTCCATTTAGAGAGGTAATAAGTAATTTTTATCCATTTGTACAGATTCCTCTCTGCAACATTAATGATGGAAGCAGAAGGGACACCACAAGCATTTCTTTTGATAAAAACAGATGATGCCTGCATCATATTTTAACATATGATTTAAAAATTTCATTACAAATTGCAGCAAGGCCTGAACTTATGAAGCTCTATTAAAATCCTTTAAACCAGTAAATATGTTGCATCAGAGACCACGTGCTCAAATTTGAAAACTTGATTCCAGTAGGAAAAATGCAGAGAGAAAAACCTCTTTCCACTTGAAGTTAATTCAAACTTCATAAATGTGTAAAAACTTTGTACGAGTCATTCAGCTTCACTATTTTTCTGTTTAAAAGTTAATGAATAGAAGCCATGAAGCATTTACTTTCTTTTTTTGTCCCAGTTTAGCTATCAGGTGTAGAGATACTGTTGTATTCATCTGGACTGTTTCACTGAAAGCTGAGAGACTTACTGGGATATGATAAAGCAGGAAGGCTGGTTTTCTTCTTCCTACCACAACTACAGGTTTGGGTAGATGATGAGACTAAAAATGTGAAGAACAGAATCAGCTTTTCTGAAACGGTTGTTCACCAGAAACCCAGCAGGATTTATAGAAGAGCCAACAGTTGACTAGCTTCTTGTTATGGCAACTTTGAAAATTTCACTGGGCACAGAACTTGCATCTTCGGATACCGAAACATATTCCGTGGTCTGTAATATCCAATGGGAAAAAAACTGATTTGCTAGCCACCAGTAATACTCCCTGTCTTTACCTGCTAAGAGGGTTGGAGAACGGGGGGAGAAAAACGGATTTTTATTTAACTAATACATGAAGTGAAGATCAGTGTTGCATAAATTCATAATTGAATGCCTCTTTCCTTAGAGAGGCAGATGAGCAAGTTAGAAATTCCAAATGGAGTTGAAGAGAATTATTTTCCTAGAGAAGATTCCCAGGACAACTGCAACATGAAATTAAATTTGACTGCTTAAATGAAGATTTCTTTCTTGGATTTAAACTTAAATTATGCTTTAAATTATGTCAGCTTCAAGGAGGATGCAGAGCAGAACTGGATAATTTTTTTCAGAACAGGAAGATAATTATTGAAATCATGCTATGTTGGTGAAAAAATATTTCAGAGAACTTATGAAACTAATCTGCCATGTTTCTGCTGCCCCGATACCAAAAATCAGCTCAAACACAAATTCATTAGGAGCTACGGAAGACTGCAAAATAAAGCTAGTAAGCAAACATTAATAGCGAGAAAACTTATTGGTAGCAGTTGTTATCCTGCATGACTTTTATTTGTTTAACTACAGTAAGAGAATTAACAATTTTTGTAGAGTTGAAGCATCCCCTTATTTCTAATCCAAATTAATCAGTTTAACAAATCAATGATATCTGCTGCACATCCACAGGTACAGATTCTTAATCACATTGGTAAGTCATGAAGCAGGGCCCAAGATCATGCACGAGGCTTTCCATGCAGAGTGGCTGAAGCCCCCAGCTGTACTCACACTGAAGACGCTTTAAACTCAGCCTCAAATGCATTGCCATCCTTGTCCTCAGCCTGCAAGACCACAGGGCTCTCAGCCTCCAGCTCACTAAAGGCCCGGCCAATAGAAGGTGATGGGAAACAAGCATGAATGTGTTGCCAAACGCAAGGAGAAGAAAGGGGAAAAAAAAAAAAGGCCATTATGTGGTATACAACACACAACTACTGTTTATATTATCTGGAGTCTTCTATTTTCATATTGCCTGAAGCCATTAAGCTTTAGTCAACTCAGTTTGCTTTGCAAGAAGGGCTGCTTTACATGTAATGCAGGATTTTAAGGCTCTAAGTTCACATCCAGTGCTAACCAACAGAAACCCCCAAAGAACTTCCCAAACGTTATAACCAACACAAGATACGCTCTTTGTGGAGCATGCTTCCGTTTTGCAAATTGCGCCTTGAGCCATGGGATGACAGATGTGTCCAGCTTTAGCTATCTGCAGTGCATGTATCTTCACCTGAGCTAGTCAGCCAGATTCCCTTTATGGTCAACAGAGAGAAAAAGCCAGTTTCAGAGCATGATTAATCTTGGTTGAAATTTCAGGCATGTAGAATACGTTAGATAACTGAAGGCCTAGCAGTGCTTGCTGCACTCCACTGACATCAAAGGAAGGCAAGCTGATCAGACATCTGACTTAGGCAAAATTAATTCCAGCCCTCTTGTGAGGTAGTCAGACGCGCTGAGGATCTGCAGCGCCCTTTTTTCCTAAGCATGCACAGCCCAAGCCAACCGTTATGGGACCGGCAATGACACTAGCTTTGACTGACTCCAGTGTTACAGACTGCTGCTCAACTAGTCGTTACTGTCTTTCTTTCACTAATTATAAAACAGTAGATACATTCACTACAACAGTGTAGCCTCAAAGGAAAATATTTATGCTGGAATGCTGATTGCAAAGGGGGGGGGGGGAAGAATGAACTGTAACTTACACAGGACAAATAAGACTGCATTAATGTGACTATGCCCTTGTTACAATCTTCTGTATGTTGCTATATTGAATATAAAATCTGTCAATGGATGAGATTAACCTTGGTTAGTTCCCATATCAAATGCTCTACCTCATGTGCTTTGGGTCCATTTACTTAGAGTAGATGGTGCCAAAGAACTTACCTATGTAGATAAATCAAGTCACCTACAAATCCATTTTTTTGTGGTTGTTGATTTTTTTGTTCTAACTTCAAATATGCTTTGTTTTTCTTTATTAATTCAATGGAAAGAGGGAAAAAAGAAAACAAAAGTCTCGCAGATTAATAAAGTGCAATGAACATAACGGAAAGTAATAGGGGAAAAGAAAGGAGTATTCCCCAGCTCATGCGCTTACCTCTCACTGAGATCTTCAACGTGCTGTCTGTGGCCTAGCATGAAGCTAGGGTTCGGCTGACCGCATGGACTCGCAGGGGCTGATAAAGTGCTTTTCACGTTCTGTACTGAGTGCCTGCGGCTCCGTCGGCGCTCTAACCCCCTCCGCTCACTAGCACCAAGACTGGCCCTTCTCCGGTCCTTGCGCCCACTGGGAGGCGGGTCAGCACTCTCATCTCCATCCTCATGTCTCAGTGTCATCTGAGAAAGAAAGGAAGAAAGGCGAGGCTTCTGATACAGTTCCTTTAGGTACCACAGGTCTTCACACCTAGGCTTTAAAAATTAACTGATCTCAACATGATTAACTCCTATTAGCGTCACCATTTCTATAGTGATCCCTGTAAGTTTCTGTCTATCTGTTAGTGCAGTGTAGCAGCTCTAATAATGGAATTATATACTGATGCCTTGTATAGAACACTACAGAATCTGTAACAACACATTTATATATATCCTAGTTTGTCTTTTTTTAACGTAGGACTTAATTTTCAAGGAAAGTGAGCAGTGTTGGACACCTAGCTCTCTTTATTTCCTTCCAAAATACTTAGGTGAAGTCTTGGCTCTAGTGAAATCAACAGAAAAAACTCTCATGCATTGATTGATTGAACATTTCCTCATGTTCAGACATGACACTTGTAATGATCGAGTGGCAGTTACCACCTGCTACTTTAGAAAGTATTTTAGAATAGTGCCATCGTTTCCTCCCAGCCAAGGAAGGGATCAGCAGATGTATATGTAACTGCATTCCTCTTAAAAATCTCCATTTTTACGGTTCTCCCTGCAAAGTAAACAAAGGAAAAAAACCTAACAAACAAAACTGTTTCTGTGAACTGGTACCACAATGGATTAAAAGAAAAAAACGCAGACCACACGTCTCCTCTAAGCCTCCCAATTTTTAGGTTAGCATAATTACTTTCACGTATGCCTTTCAGTGGAAAATTCAGTATTTCCTGCCAGTTCAGAAGCACTGTCCATACAGAGGAACATATGTATATCAGAAAAGAATAATGCTGAGAATAGCATGGCCACAGTGACATTTGATAGAAACCTCTGACACAGGTTGGGAGCTCATCAGTTGGAAATAGTAGAGGAGTAAAATACGTGTGCAACACCTAGTATCTTGAACTACAGCACGCCGTTGACATGCCAATGTGACATACCTCTAACAGAAACAAAGCAAGCGGTACCTTAGGGTATGTAAGGAGAGATATTGCTGGCAGAAGCAACAAAGTTAGTGGTGGATCTCATCTGAAGTGCAGCGTAACATTTAAGTAATCTTTATATGAGAAAGATCCATTCAAATAGGCAGAGGTACAGAAGAGGGCAATGTGGGTGATCAGAAGAATGCATATCTTCTTGTTTCTATTAGTCTTGCTATTCCAATAATTCTTACCAGAAGTGACTTTAACAACACAAAGGCAGGGGGAAGTGTGATATCTCTGCTTAGGGTGTAAAATCTATTTCAGTGGGGAAGACGAGATTTTTCAGCTAAAGAACAACATCGGCAGAAAAAAGAAAGAATGTGCATAGGCATATCTGGCCATCAAGAGAAAGCTGGTACCCAACTAAGCCAACTGCTAATTTTGCAATCAAGTCTTTCAGTAGGCACAGCATGCACAAAAAAACCTGCTTTTGAGATTAATGATCATCTTTTAAAAATGATTTTATGAGCTGATGCCTCTGACAATAGAAAAAGAAAGAACATGGAGCCCTCTCATTCTCACGTTCCTATTTTGGCCTGACTCTTCCTGCAAACTGCTGTATATAAAACTTAACTCTGCTAAAGTTAATGAAGTGACATGGGTGTAAAGTTGAGGAAGAAAATGGAGTATCAAATCTACCAAATCCTTTGCTGGACTTGGAGATAAAGTCATTTCATTTCATCACACCAGAACATGAATTCACATTTACATTACATTAACTTCAGCCTAAACCTCCCTGCTCCAACACTTCCCGAAGTCTGAAAAGAGGCTAATTATTAAGAAACTGGCTATCCTACCCTTACATATAAATACTTCAGAAGTAGTTATTTTATACCTAGGTGGTGAATGTGGAGTCACTCATTACTCCATTGCTGCAAACTGTATCGGATGTGGTCCAGTGTAAACTCGTAAACAAGGACTTGCTGGGTATTCAGCTGCAGAACAAGTGGCATTTGTGAAGCTGAGCTCAGCCGAACCTTTTTCATGAGCTGAATACTTTTGCATATGGAAAGAACTTCTACTTACTTCAGGATGTGTAACTAGCAGTCTGAGCAAGCTTTAATTGCAGGCAGAACTGCCTTTAAGGAGGCTAGTAAATGTGCTGGTTTGCCTTGGAGTATGCCCCAGCTTTAGTATGAAATGCATTTGCATTAAACGCAGCTATGTATCGCAGCAGGTCACATAAATGAATGTGTATAATACTTCTAGCAACCAGATGTTTTTCTTTTAAAATAAAATAGATAACCAAATTTCACCTAGGTTACATTCCCCCCTCCTCTCGGCTTTGAAGTTTGCACAAGCTGTAAGATGCATAAAACAGGGCATGCTATGTTACCTCATAAATGTTAAATTGCTCAACTAAGTCCAAGTCTGTTCCTTTCTTGTTCAAGTGTCTCTGTGAAATAGCTTCAATGCCTAGCTCTTCCAGACAGTCCACCACGTCGTAGAAAGAGTCTTGATCTGGCAACCCCGACAGCGTCTAAGAATCAAAGGAAAAACATTTAAATCTGTTTGTTTTGAAAAGAATTAAACAAAGGTTTATAAAAGCGGGTGGCAAGTGGTGCTATGTATGATTTCAATAAAGTAAAACCCATGATGTGGGATTAGAGACACCGCTAGAAAATAAAAAAAAAGTGGCACAGCTTTTAACAAACAACTCTGTGCACTGTGTAGAAAAATGAATAATTGGCAAAACAAATCAATGTTGTTATTTCATACAAAAAAGTATGGAAAATGTGGGTCTTTAAAATACACAGTTGGATTCTTCCTGGTTTCATTGAAGTACAGATTTAAAGAACAGAGAACGTTAAAGCATCAAACACGGGGATAAAAGCAAAGAGAGAGAAAAAAATGGTTTAGCTAAAAACACTGAAGCTGATTTCCTACTGATTCCTCTAAGTTTGGCCTTAAGAAGAAAAAGTCCAATGCACAGCTGTGTGATGTCAGGACAGCAGGAAATATCCTGCACCACGTGCCTACTGTCCTCCACACCTGCAGCAGAGGTCATCCTCCCAACGGACAAATTGTTTTATATCGTAGAGATGTTGACTCCTTTCCTCCCCTTCAACTTGAAAACTCTTACTAAAGGTACACTGACTCCTGAACCCCTATAAAATGTTAAGAGAGTTACTAATTCCCAATTATGGGCTAAGTTGTTACCAGTGACACTGGAGAGGAGCTTTTGCACACTAGAAAATTAAGAATGCCAATAATAACAGCTATTGAAAATGAACTGTTTGAGTTCAGAGCTTTCTATGGCACCTGCTCTGTGTTCAAGAGAGAGCACTTTTCTTACCACAGTGATTTCCCATTTTTTTGGTGAGTTCAGAAAACTGAGAAAAGGAAGGTGGTCTTCTGCAGTGTCCCATGTATACCATAGTATGCCACTGCAGTGTGTGTAGCAAGTGGGATTGAATCAAGCCACTCACAGCTTTGCTGCAGTGATGTGTGGGAAGAAGACACGGGCATTGGACAACTTTGTTCAGAGCACGAGTGAAGTTCATCCACCAGAGTCCTGCAGACATTTACAAAGGCAACAGAAAACACTACTATTCTGGTTTGCCATTGATTTCTACTCAGCTTGTGCTGACTTTTTATGGCTCTTTATGCATGATGCAGAAAAATGAGTCTAATGCTGCTCCTGTTGAGCAGAAACTGCTGAACATACTGTGCAACTACTTGCAGAGCACTATATACCTCATCGCAAGAATCGGTCTATACAGAGATGCTTCTGCAAAATACGGGAGAGTGCACACTGGAAGCAACACAGTTGTTCTGGATTAGCTCACCAGAGATGCTTATTCTCAAGTGTATATACCCGTCTCCTATTTAATTAGCTAAGTAACTTATCTATACTCCCAGTAGAGGAGAGAAAGAGCAAGAGATAGAGACAGCACATGCAAAAAACAGGCCCTCTCCAGAAAGAGTTTCACCTTCTCATGCCCGGGATGGGATGAACTGTGCTCTGAGAACACTGGTTTTCTGGAGCCCAGCTTTTCCAAAGTGGCTCTGAGCCGCAGAGTGCAGAAGAGAGCAGCCGCTCTGGGCTGCCTCCCTATATCAAGCAGCTTGACATTCAGAAAAATTGGTCTGAATTATGTGAGTAACAACAGACAGCTGACATACCTTGCCCTGTTAAAGCACCCCTTTCCTGTGAAATGAGGCACTGGAAAATGTGCATCACCAAGCTACTTTTTAATTATTTTTTTTTTCTTAAACTAAACATGACACAGCAACATCATCTTCAGTCATTACAGGACTGTTATCCGATATCTGGTGAGGTCCACTGCAACAGGAATGCTTAGCACAAACACTAATGAAGTGTTAGGGCTATATGTTCAGGGTTATATGTTCAGGCTCTAATTAAGAATTTGTCTCTTTCCAGGACAGTATTTAAGCCTGTTTAAAACCCACCGAAGACCATGGAACTACATTTTCCTGAACAGTGCTGAAAATAGATACCACGTGCATTTTCTTCTTTCCTAAACTGACACCTAGCATTGAGTAGAAATCTGAGGATTCAGCAGATGAAGCTATAACACTGTAATTTCAATTTAGCTTTAACACAGATACGGAAATACTGTAACAGAATACGATGTCTATCAGGCTTTCTCTGACTTATGAAAGAAGTAGACAGCAGCTACGATAACCTGAGTGTTGTCAGGCACAGTAAGATGTGATGTCTTACATGCAAAAGGGTGGACAAACAGTCAGATCTTCTGCACAGATCTTCTGAGCATTTCCTTCTTAAAATATCAGGAAATGGTCTTAATATTGATAGGCAGATCACCCGCCTTCGAGTATATATCTATATCTATATATCTCTTTTTTAAATTCTGAGGGCAGGCAGGCTGTAGACAAAGAAAACAGCAGCATAAGGTACTATTTACTGGCAACCCTGCTTTTGTCAGTAGCCTTTTATTGGTTAATATAATTTTAAATCTTGCAGTGGTGGAAATCCAATTTTCACTGCATGCTAGTGGCCAGAACTGGACAATTGAACTCCCGAGTATAGAAATCAACTATTTTTCCTTTGCACAGTTTGTCATTAAACTCACAGATCCATTTTCGGAGTGTAATGCATATCAAATTCAATTTCTAACGTTATAAAATGGGATGTGAAAGGGCACCACTGGTGTCACAACAAGGTCAGTTCAATCTAGCTCAGGAGAAAGATTTTTGCAGTAACTAACACAAGGGACATGAAGTGCTTGCATAAATGACTGATTAATTCCAGCTTGTGGTATTAGAAAACAAGAGTGGGCCTGCATTTTCCTGGTGTTTTTATAAAGGAAACAAAAGCTGCAACCAGCAGAGCAGAGGTCATAAATTGGGCAGGTCCTTCCAAGGTCCTTGCTCCTTCCCGAGTATCTGGTTAAGTTCAAAATGATACTCCCATATCGAAATACACATACAAGTCCCAAATATTTCCTCCTGCTCTGAAGACTGAACCTTACAAATTGAAAACCTGTCTAGAGAATTAAAATTTAGTCACTTGGAGAAGTGTTTTTAAACCATACTCTGGGGTTTGCTTGCTGAATTCTGTTACGTTACCACTAGCCTAGACCAAAACTGGGATTTCAAACGTGAAACTCTTCAGAACTCAGGTGTACAAATGAAGCACGAATATGAATGTCAAGACTCATTCCTATGCCTCTATCCAGTTTTGGTTTGAGGAAACATCCCTGAATTAAGATTTTTATTTGTTTGTTGTGTGATTTTCCAAGTTGCTTTCTCAAGCCCTTGTGGGAAAGCCTGTGCAGCTTTGAGTTCTTCCCTCTGAAGGGGCTGCTTTTGGAATGGTGAACTAAATTAAAACCAAAACCCCAGCCTGAGAGTTCTGAGCTTGATATATCTTCCTAACATTTTTACCAAAGCCTAAACAATATGTCTTACCTACCACTAACTGTAACAGTCCCAATGGAAAGAAAGGCAAGAAAACTAATGAAGTTGTATTGGGGGCTAAAAAAAGAAAAAGTGTTATGGGAGTGTACCAGCCAAATGTTTTCCTAGATGATAAAACCTATTAGACAACATACTCAACTGGTAAGAGCACAATATTCTTATCACTACATATCCTCAGTTACATTTCTGAACAAAACCTGACATAAATTAGTGCTACACCATGCCTGGCTTCAGGCTGAAAGGCTCTCTTTACTTGCAGTTTTTAAAATGTGTAGCCCTGGATGATACTAGCTAGTAAAACTAGTAAGTATGGTGCCTTTTGTCATTTACAAAACAATCAGAGTATAAAGCAGTGGTGCAGAGAGGATACAGACAACAGAAAGTCCACTTGGTGTGCAACGCTTTACATGCAAGTCCAAGTAATCTAAGAGTACTGCTCTGGTTACCAGACTTCCAACAGACTGGGCTTCACTACAGGGCCCATGCACTCGACAGAGAGACATTAGCTAAATCTTACATGCTACAGTGAAAAGCACTACATAGTAAATAAACACGCTTAAGGGCATTAGCCAAGTTTTCAACTGCTTTGGGATAGGAAGAAGCATCTCTCATATATGTGTTTTCCTGGGAACCACAACTTCTAAAACATCTGGTGCGGCCAACATCAGAGACAGGATGTAAGATGATCATTGCTCCAGTGTGGCAGTTGCAATGTTCTTAAGGCAGGTCACCGAAAAATGACATGCCAGCTGCTGTTTTAACACCACGCTGGCCTGAAACAGCACTTCTTCAACTACAGCTGATGGACCGCTGGTGGGTGGTACTCTAAGCTCCCACTAGTAACCACCGGCCTGGAAGCTGGCGCTTAAATTCTAGTCTTGTATTGGACGTGCTAAAAAACATTCAGTGCTTAATCTGACTATACCAAAATGTATTAATTTTTGTATACCTCATAATTATTTTATCTACCTATTTTTCTTATTAAATGTATTGTATGATATGAGAGAACAAGCAATATTAAATACAGGTAAAAAGAAAATCAACAGTAATCTTACAACTACAAAGCTTCCAGTGTAATCTCAATAATGAAGAGGTTTTATAGCAAGTAAATATAAAGTGAATTGAATGCAACATAGAATTTTCTTTCTGCATTTGATGAGTGGGTGGGGTTTTTTTTTAATATAAAGGAAACACAAAGGCTTTAATCTATCCAGACCTCAGTAATAAAAATGAAGAAAGTAGAGATTAGAATAAGATCTAACAGATCATAGGAACTAACCAAAGGAAGATAACAAAGGTTATACTGGAACTATACATAACTGGAAGTATCTGCATTGGGATCAATCTCATTTATTAATCAGAGATTCATTAATGCCTAAATCCCCCCAAATTAAGAGAGGGTTAATGAAATGTTAGTGTAAGTAAATTGGTTAAGCATCAACAAAAGAGAGGGAGAGGATAAAAGGATTGGAACAATTCTTATGTCTGGGCAGATGTGTTTTCTGCTCTTGAGCAGGAAGGAAAACAGTCTGTAAACGTATACAGGGAGAAAGAAAAAGGAGTAGAAGTATGCTTCCTTAAGACAAATCCCTCGTGAGGACTCTGCCTGCACTGAAAACTTTGACATTTCCTCGCCTAGAGAAGTTGAAACCATCTGAGCCTTCTTTGTATTCTCTGCGGGGGAAAAAAATTACAACTGTGACATGCTGCTTGCTGTTTTCTCTATAATCATGAAAAAAATCCCATTAAAAACATCATAAAGCTGTCCATAAGCCAAATCATAATTATAAGTGTGGCATTGTGGGATTCCTCTCTTCCTTGATCTTCATAACTGCCTTGCTCCTTTGACTGCGAGATGTTTTTTCTTTTTGTGTGTTATTAAAGAACTACCTCCTCCCAAAAATAGCTTTAAATGTAGTGAAAAACTGAGACTAAAGGAATCAACTACAGGATAATAAAAGAGTCAACATACAAGAAAATTTTTGAAGAAGTCAAACACCAGGTAAATTACAACTGTGCAAATGATGAAGGGAATTATCTCAGAAAGAGGAATCGGTACACGAAACGACCAGGTGTAAAATGGAGACATCAAAAACTACTCGCCTCAGCTTTAATAGCAGCTACAGGCAGAAGCATATAAAGCTGATGATGCCTTTCAGAAAGAGTACATCAGTGAGATAAGGTGGTCCTTTAAAGTCAAGAGGATCCTTACTACCATGTAAGCAGGAGCAAGGGCGGCTCTAAATAAAAGTACAGTAACATCAGTGATGTCACCAGGAGAGGTTAGTCCCTCTCAGGCATCTTTGCAGGACAATATCTGCCATTAAGAAATTATTTCATAAAAAAAACACCAAAGCAACCCACGGCCCCAACCATGTAGCCATGAGCACAATAAGCTGACAGCTTGATTTATGACCTCCACTGACAAACTCAGGATCTTTAAATGAATATAATGAATAATAATACTCTGGCCTATTAAGTATAATCATAAAACACACGGTTATTTTGATTTGCTAGTAGTATGTTGATCTTCTGTGCTCTTCAAAAAATCCATTTTTAATTTTAGTTATCCTAAGATTTGTTTAGGACTAGACGCTAATCTTTAAGGAATTTACACGAATACATTTCTAACTTTTACGTGCCTTTCACTTTCTCCCTTCACACATTTGATTTTACTGCAAAACTACTACTTGTAATACAGGACACCAGAAAATATAAAGAAAGAAGAAAAAATGTAACCTCATTTTTTTTAAGCAGAAACACTCTTACTAGCACTCAGACCTGTTAAATTAATCATATTTGGTTTGCAGAAAAAAAAATATTAAAATATCTGAACTAGAAAACTGTGCACAATGCAAGCCTTTGTGAGCAAGTGATCTTTTTCACCAGCACTTGCTTTCTTTCTCCCCTTGGATAATGTGTTGAGTTAGTTTGTTGAGTTTTGTTTTGCACTGTGTTGTCAACGCTGGGAGAGGAGCCATGTCATAACACGTTTCCGCACAGCATCTAGCAAAATAGCAATTCTGCTCCAGCTGCTGCCTCTGGGCAGTAACAAGAGTGTGCTGACTGATTACAGCTTGTCCTGCAACTTTTCTGGGAAAGGTCTCCTTTGTCATATATTCTCAACAGGGAAGATTATTATACAATTGAAAATACTAACATTAGCTCCACCAGTTATGCCAACAAAGTAAACAAACCTTGTTAACCAAGGTCATTGCGTAAACCAGTAGTTCGGTATCAACCCCATCCTTCTCCTCCAGGATCTCCATGATGTTGGACCACGGCTTGGCTCCTAGAGGAAAAGCAGAAACCATTGGTCATGGTGATCAAAATGGAAAGCTATAGCATCAACATTTATCCAAGAGGTAGCACAAGGTGGAACGATGTGGCCAGGTGGAAAGTAAAGTGGAAAGACAGTTATCTCCAGCTTCCTCTACAGTCTCCCCTGCTTCACGGAGAGTGAAGTTAATACAGTCAGTGAAAGCTATGGTACATCCTAATGCAAGGATCTAAAATATGCCAGGTGGACTTTCCCCAGAGGTACCAATTTCTCTCCCTCGATGATGAAGGAAGTTTTGTTAGCCCAGTTTGATTGACAGTGAACTTCTAAAATCAGGTGGGAGGAATTTTACACCACCTGTCATAGGTTCACATAGGCTTAGATAAATCTTTAACAAAAATCTATATGCTACTCTCTCAGTGCATTTGATGCTTACATTCCTAGTGATATTACTGCGTTATGCTGCATTAAGATAAGTCCTGTTAACAAAACAGTGCAGGAGAGAAACATAGTTTTCTCAAATTACAGGCTGCGTGTCTTGGATAAAAGAAATGATCAATGAGGGGAAAAGATTTTTGCTGTGGTTCTTACTCAAATTATTTTAATAAGAATTCCCTCTACAGAACTTTCAGATACATTTCTCTCATTTTTCCACTAAGTAAGGTCAAAATTTGTGCTTCTAGTTACGACGTATTTGCTTGATTTGCATGTTGATTTGCATTTGCACGATTATCTGATGCCAAAACCCAAGCAGTTTAGTGAGTTATTGTGCCAAAACCGTCAGACAGGCAATGCCAGGCAGACTCAAGATAACCTCTCGTGCGGAAGGTACCTTGTAAAACCATCCTACTTCATTTGGCTAAAAGGCAGATGGTTGCATTTATTAAAGAAAAAAAAACACGTAACTATTTTATCTAGGAAACTGAAGTAAATAATGAAAGACTATAATTCAGTGTTTAGTTTGGAGTAAAGCTAAAGGTGAAGAGGACGAAGCAGAAAGCTAACCCTAACCTAGAGATACTCAATTCAACTACACCAGCATAACTGCAAGAGTCTTTGAATTTCAGAGGGAAAAATGCAGAGTATTCCAACGCCCACATGCCCTAAATGCTACAGGGATGACGATAGTTTGAGTATAATCAGGCAGTAAAATGCAGATGTTTCATCACCACAACCTGTTGCTGACTGATCAGTGACCCCGATGTTAAAACTCTGCATTACTCTCACAGTGATAACGGCCTTTGTTTATTCATGCTGATATGTTATATATATCCTGCTACACAGACATCGAATCCCTGCTAACCAAGGATCTCCATTTTCAAGGCGATGGCAGTGCACTGTGTGGAAAAACCTGTCTATTAATGAACACGGACAGCAATATTTCTCTTGTTTTCTTTTCTCTTCTTTTTGAGACATGCTCTGATCTTTACTACTGAATAATAAATCAAAGCTTCCTTATCTCGAGCAAAATCAAAGAGGGGGGGGATTCACGCTCAGCTCTCCAAATGTATTTATGTGCATTACTAATTGGATACTAATTCAAATACATGGCTGTAATGAAAATACACTAGACACCTCTTTACCAGATTCTCTATATTACCAGACATTTTGTGCAGTACATGTTCAAAAGACATGTGGAACAAATTCACTCGGCTCACAAATGATATATGATC